TAAAAAGAACCAAGGGGGAGTGAGCAAGAGTCTGCCTGGCTTAGTTCGGTTGGAAGTCGTGTGGTTTCTGCCAGATTCAATTTACGCTCCAGTCTGGTGGCATTAAGCAGTTTGATGAAGCAAGAAAAGAGAGCGTCGAGCTTCACTGGCAGGACTGATCTCAGGGATGATTATGATTTGCCATTCTGCTCCTCTTCTGGTCCAACAACGATTGATCGAATGAACTGTGTCCTGACAAGTGCAGAATTCATTGCACAAACACATGCACATTCCTGCAGCACTGAAGAGTTGCTGCCTCGGCAATCACTCTGCGTTGTGCAAATGATGGGAAGCAGCAGTTGTAGTGATGATGAGAAGGATGCGGAAATGTCCTTGGACACAGACAAAAAACAATCCAAAAATGTGCAGCTACCCATTGACAGTGGCAGTGGCTATACCAGCAGAGAGGAGCATGATGAGGGCTTGATTGGTGACAACAAACATCAAGGGGAAACTAGCATCCCATTTGGGGATGAAGACAATGATGTCCAAACAACCTGCCACGAATCAGATCTAACAATCGGTGTGACCATTGCGGAAGGCCAAGACAAGGCCAATACCATGCAACAAGAACCAAACAATCCTTGTCGTGTCGAGCAAAATCCTGCCGGGGACACCTTCCAGGATGAAGACTGTGAGAGCCAACCTGTTTGCACCGAAAATGTCATAACTAGGGAAACCTTTGTTGATGAAGACATGCATGAGGATTTTCAAACTGCACTCATTGAGTGAGCATAGGTTTGATGGAGAAGCCAATATTCGACGCTCACCTCAAACCAACAAATTGTGTCATGCAATGATGATGGAATTCTTTGGGAGCTACAAGACCAAGATCCAGATGATAAACAGACAATGAGCAATGTGTGGAGGAGGTTCCACCAAGAGAGGTCGAAACAGTGGAGCGCAGTAGCTCGCTTGCACTTCGTTTCCAAAGCCCGAGCCGTATTGGCGAATGGAGTTTGCGAAAGGGCTAGAGGGCGACTCACCGCCCAAGTGGCAGTGATCCAAACTCCCGTGTGAAGTGTCGAAAACGGAGCAACCGGGGCTTCGAACACTGAATTTTTGAACCATATGATGTTTGCAGGTAGGTGTCCGCGACGACGTGACTCCATGAGGATGACGTCTGCTGTTGACAATGGGACAAGCGAAACGATATCTCCTGATAGCGAAAGCACCAGCTAGGAACAAAATGAAGTGTGTTCGTAATTTTTGTGCTATCGATTGTTGAAAATCTGGAAGCCAGTACCTGGTAGCACGTCCTCTGCGATATCATCGTGCGTACTGTATGTATATCTATAGATCGAATCGAGTTGAATCGAGTTGAATTGAATTGAATTGAATTGAAAAGAGTGTCCCCCGACAGCAAATGGATTATACAAACGTCCAATTCGAGAAGTGCTGCTAACGAGGGCGCAACGAAACTGCCCAGCCAGCCATGCAGTCTCAAAGAAGGGGGCAGGGGTGGTCTACGGCCGTTCGGAAACGCGACAGTCACCATGTTGTTTTCGACTTGAATGAACGTTCGTCGCTGAACCTATGGAGTGCTTCCCAAAATTGTTGCGGTTCACGCGAGTCACCAAACTGTTTCGACTTCAATCAAACGTTGATTGGGCATGGTGCTCGGAGTCTGGAGATGCAACGGGAAGTTTCGGTTGGGATGTAGCGTTTCCAAGCTCTTGGAAATCCAAAGTTGTTAGAACTGTATGGTAGGTGCCCGAAATCTCCAAGGCTCCTCCAAGGTCTATCGTGGACCGTGGACAGAGCAGATTTATGCGGCGAGTTTGATGGGTTGGCTCTCGGCCGCTCGAGGCCCCAGTACGTTTTTAGACTATTCCGGTGCCTCTCAGGCTGGTACCACGAGACTTGGTACTTTTTCACTAAATTATTATTAATACTCAGAAAAGTCCATTTAATTAATTGAGATCAGCAATAGATTTAACAACCCGTCACAGTGAATGACTGCGAGCTGCGATGGAGTTCGCTTCCACCTTCCACTCGCGAGCTGCGAGCTTGCCCAAGTGCGTGAACTTCCGAGATGATTATGGAAGAGGTGTGTCTGCTGGACTGTCTGCGTGGCCACTGGCATTTTACTGCAACAAGCAGCACACAGCGAGGAGACATCGGACATAAACCAAGAGCTGACGAAGTTCCTCATCGAGCCTCGAGCCCCCAGCAAAAGAGGTCCATAGAGGGAAACAAAGATGACAGACTCATCATACCACTCCACATCTGATAATCCCAGTGATAATAAGGTCCCGCTGAATGAGATCGTAGTCCGGCAGTGGGACCTCAATGAAAACTCAACACATTACGATCGACTTGTCGCAGCTCCCAAGGATGAAGACCTCATCAAGTTTTGGGCTGGATGGGCTGGCATTATGCTCTCAACGGCGGTCTTGACCACTGCCATTTGGATTCCACTTGTGGCATCCAAAAAGATTAAAAAGAATCCATTCAATCTCTACCTTATCTTCCTGTTTATTCCAGACATGTTGGTATCTTGGACTTGTGGCTTTACCTGTTTGAGTAATGCCCTGGCGGGCCACTTCACATCTGAATTCATGTGCTACTTCCAAAGTTGGTAAGTGAGAGAAATAAGGTCCCCAACTGCGTACGGTAGCTATTTGATGCTTTCTTATACACCTCTTCAACTTCAATTTCGTATCACTTAGGTATATGGTTGCATCCATTACTGCCAACTCGTGGTTGAATGCTTTGGTAGCCTACCAGCTCTACACTATGCTCAGCAGTGCCCAGCGGTTCATCCGTTACCAACCACCTACCAGCAAACGAGTTGTTATACATTCTGTTTGTATTTATCTCTACAGCACCTTTTTGGGATGCTGGGGACTTGTTAATACTGATTGGTGGCCCCACAAAACCCGCCTCACTATAGGAAGTGCCTGCCTTCCAATGGACTACAGTACCACTTCCACTGTCTTCTTCTACTGTGTCTTCTTCCCTCTTTTCTTCGGCATACCATTACTATATGTGTCCTGGGCTGCCTTCAAGATCTACAGGCACCAAATGGTGCCACCAAGTGGAAGAAGGCGGGTCTTGGCCATCTATTTTGGACGTCTTGTGTTTGTCTTCCTTGTCATGTGGCTTCCTGGATTGCTGCTCTTGTTTGTCACAGGAGCTTGGCTTAATCCATGGGTTGAATGGGTAGGGGGTTCTTGGTCGCATTTGCAGGGGGCCGTTTCTGCGTTGGTGAGTCTTTTAAAACCGGACATCTGGAAGACTGTCCGAGACTTTTGGACGTGCAGAAGTTCTGGTGATGATGACAAGACCCGAGGGGAGAGTGACTGGTTTACTTCCTTTGGAAGTATGGTGGGTAGTACCAGATTCAGTTTGCGCTCCAGTCTGCTGGCATTAGGCACTTCAATGAGGCACGGAAAGAGAGCAAATAGCTTCAGTGGCGATATTGATCTCATGGATGAAGATTCCCCATTCTGCTCCTCTTCTGTTCCAGCAAAGATTGATCGAACCGACTGTGTCCTGACAAGTGCAGAATTCACTTCACAAATACATGCTCATTCCTGCACTGTTGAAGAGTTGATTCCTCGGCAATCACTCCCCATTGTGCAAATGATGGACAGCAGCAGTAGTAGTGATGACGATAATGATGCAGAAATTTCCTCGGACACCGACGAAAAACAATCCAAAAATGTGCAACTACCCAATGACAGAGGCAGTGGCAACACCAACAGAGAGGAGCATGATGATGGCTTGATTGGTGAAAACAAACAACAAGATCAAACCAGCATCCCTTACGGGGACAACCACAACAATGTCCAAACGACCTGTCATGAATCAGATCTATCAAGCGGTGGGACCATTGCCGAATGCAATGACGAGGACAATGCCATGCAACACGAGCCAAGTAACCGTTGTCATGTCGAACAAAATCCTGCTGGTGACACCTTCCGGGATGAAGACTGCGAGAGCCAACCTGTTTGCACCGAAGGCATCTCAACTAGGGAAACCTTTGATAATGAAGGCATGCAGGATGATGTTCAAACTGCAGTCGTGGAGGAATCACAACACTAGCCTCAAACCAACGAATTTGAATGACGATGGAATTCTTGGGCAGCTGCAAGAACAAGAACAAGGACAAGACCCAGATGATAAACAGACAACGAGCAAGGTGTGAACGGTGGAACAATCGAAACAATACTTGCTGATAGCAGAATATGTGGCAGCGCGCTGAACCATCTAGCTATGTACGTTTCTGGTCCTTTGACGCAGCAAATGCACCAAAAGCGTGTTTGATCCGTTGGCGTTCACGCCGAAACAGGTTCCCTGCAATGCTTTTATCGATTCGGTGTTGATTTTGCAAGAAACATCAGCTGCAACGCATTCTGTCATATCCAAGTCAGTGCATGCATTAAACTACAGCAGCAGCAAGAGCTTTGAAAGGTTCCATCACGATCTTTACTTTAGCGCCGTGAACAACTGAAGGCCGGGCGCTCTATTGAATAGTAGACTTCGTGCGGTACAACATTGAGGCATCATTTTTTTGTCTTTGCCATTAGCAACCACTGCAACGCGTTACAAATAGAGTCACGAGGGCAAACTTCAGAGAATCGAATCAGTATTGTTTGTGCCTTGTACTCAGCTACCTTACTACTAGCTAGCGAGAAGAATAGATGCATGTATCGAGAGATTGTCGTGTCACTGATATGATAGTATGATGTACGATATTGATGTCTGATACTGACCGACTACTATTCTCCGTGGGTCCGGGCCCAGTTTCAGTAATTAGGACAAGCTACTAGCTAGCACGGTATGGTACGTAGGCACATGTAGTTCACGCAATGATTTTCCCGAGGCAACCAATCCCAAATTCCATTCAGTATCCAATCAACCTATCTTTGCTGTTTCTTTCCTTGGCCCCGGAAGGCACACTGGAGTCTTCTTCAATAGGATGTAGCTTCGTTGTCTTCTTGATCTTGCCTGGTGTTTCTTGTTGATTTTGCCTCTTGTTGCCTAGCTCGGACCGTGCCGTAGTAGTTTGGCTACTAGCTAGGCCAGCTAGGACCACCACCGTTCATTCTTTTTGTTCTTGTTGTCAGCCGCGGCGTCCAAAAAGGACGGAGGTCTACTACTAGCATGGTTGTTCTGCCTGTTACCAGTAGGAGATCCAAATAATTTTCGATACAGGTCCCCGTATCCCCTCCGATCGGCAAACTCGAGTCCTTCGTGATACTTTCGAGCGGCGTACTCTTTGGCTTCCAAATTGGCTTCCCTCATCGATTCTTCCAAGGGTTGATTGGCAACGGGTTTTCGCTTTTGTCCGTGTTCGTCGAATCCAAACGCCAGAATCAAACCCAAAGCCACCGTCGTACTCGTCATGACGGTGGCATACAGCATGTATTCCAAACGATCGCGGCGGAAACTTCTCATCTTGCTCTCTTTTCCTACTACTGGAGTATTGTTGTGGATCTTCAGCTTCTGGGTGTTGTGGGTGGAGCAACTTTTGGTGGTTGCCTTGACTCGTGACTGCGGAGAGTCGACCAGTGCGTCACTGATGGCTTGTCAAATCAAAGATACGATCGATGATCATCGATTGCGTTCGAATTGGATCTTACGTCGCGAACGCAACAACAACAGCCAAGACAACGACCCACACCACAAACCCAACTGAAACAAGAGCGAGAAAGCTGGGTAGAAAGTCCTTGTTCAAGACTACTAGCTAGACAAAGTAGTATCAAGAAGATGAGCTCTGACGAAAGCAAGCCCAAGGAACAAGAAGAGGCTGCTCCTGCTAGTAGTAGTAGTTTCACCATGCCCGATTTGAGCGGCGTCGACGTCAGTGGTGCCCAATCGAACATCCGTCAAGGGATTCATCAAGGCTGCAAGTGGACCGTCAATGGCATTAATGGCATGTTGGGACAACTCCAAGTGGCGACCAAGAGCGTCCAAGAACCCGTCAGTGGCGTCATGTCGGAATGCGAAAAATACGGCACCCAAGCCGCCACCCACTGTCGAGTCGCCTACGAACGTCGTCACGAATTCGCACCCTACTACGTCGCCGGTGCTGCGATTGGTGTGGGAGGCATTACGGCCTTGCGAAGAGGACGTCTTCCTGCCGTCGCATTGGGAGGTTTGGCCGGAGTCGGAACCTACTTGGCACTCTACGAACCGCTCTTTGAAACACCCACCATCGAATGGCCCTTTTCTAATTTGACGGGAAATCTTGGTCTTGGTGGTGGCAACAAAAAGGAGTAGGTAAAAAGACACGACTTCTTAGTTAGGAAAGGTACAATCTGATTTGGTCTGTCTGACAAAAGAGAGCGGCACACACCACGAAATTTGCTCAGTATCGAGGAAGATAGGCAGACACAATATTAGCTACGGTAGCTAGCTTTAAAACGTAGTAGTCTAATTCCGCCATTTTTAGATACTGGCTGCCAAAAGTTCTGTCTTTTGTATTCGTTTGGTGGAGAAATAGAAAGAAGGGCGCCAATTTAGCACGAGGGAGGGTTGGGAATGCACCGTAAATTCGATTCCAATGGCCGGTATACCTCCGTCACGATAGCACGTATGGTTCGGGAACTTTCCTTCCAATGGACCGGATCAAATCTCTCTACCGTACCGTACTGGTTGCCCATTTCCAACCTCAACGGAATGATCTGAAGGACTTTACTCTGAGTTCCTGACCGACCCCTTGAGACCTATTTGTTCTGAAAGGACCTGGCAAACCTAAACCTCTGGGAGCCTATCAATCTGTGGTGATTCTTGAGATTCATTACTCTTGTATCTAGCCAGCTAGGCACGTGTGACTGCGCCGGGATTTGAAGCCCGCGGGATGAACATTGCCGAACGGTACAACGGTACGGTACAGTAGCAGCAGAGGCAGAACCACAAGGGAAGCAACTTTTACTAAAATGCAAAAACTCATGTAGAATTCTTTCAAAGTCTAAAGGTTTGCACGCCCCGAATAGAATCGTGCCAACATGGGCGGGCAAAACATGACGAGGAAATCCGCTAACTGCTGGTTCGCTTTGGCGCTATGAAACTGTCAACAACACTACCAGTACAGAAACCCACTGAACATCCGAGATGGCTGAAATGGATCTTTTGAAATGGAACAAGCTATGAACTACTTTTTCGGTTTCAAAGTCTAAAGGTCCGCTCATTTTCGTATCTCCTATGGAGAGACTGTACCATTTTTTCATAGCATCTTTCTGTTGCCTCTTCTTCATTGGGCACCATGAATATCTTATCCAATCGATCACCAAAATCATCACAACCCATTTCAATGTTAGATTTTGCCAGCGGTGGACAATATCGTTTGACTGTAGAAAAGATTGTATTGACAAGAACTCCACTATGGTACAATTTGCAAGTTTGCAGAGAATAGGGGTAGAATGCAGCGTCAACCAAACACCTTTTTGTGTGCTTTAGATCCATAAAACGGGGTGCCTTCCAACTGTACCCTTCACATTCAATCAGGAAGATTACACCATTTCTGACAGCTGCGAGATCAGGATTGATGGTGTGATTGATATAGTAGAGCCCTGCAAATAGAGACTTTGTTCCCCGGATGCTTGACAAGGCACTGGGATTCATCTTGGTAAAGTCCAGAGCCCCCATGTAGTTGCTATCTAGCGGACTGAAGCCCACATAGAGAATGTGTCCTGGCATGAGTTGCATAAGTTCTCGCAACCTTCTCTTTGACTCGGAGAAAGTGTCCAATACATCATACTCTTGTCGGTAATGCTGAAGTTTGTAGACCCGGTCAATGGCAGATTCCATGTTTCCCTCTTCTACAACCGCAATTTGGGTCAGCATGAAATCCGATATCACATCCAGCTCTGGATCACTCTGGACAGCTTCTTTCAGAGACACGGCCCATTGGTATTCCTCTTGTGTTAACTGCATCCGCCTGGAGTCATATTGACTCAATGGCTCCTCCGGCCATTCCAGACAGACAACATTCCTTTCGCCCCTCTCATTTACAGCTTCTTCTTCCTTTGCTTCTTCCTTTGCTTCACCAGAGTCGGCTTCGTCCTCTTGCTCCTCTGCAGCTGCAGCCCAGGGTGCCATCATCGCTGGTTCAATGGCCAAATGAAGGAATAAAAACCTGCTATCGGTAGCCAGATACGCTGTCCTCTTTTCAAGCACAGTAGAATTTATGACAATGTCACCAGGGTGGACTTCTGACGATGTTTGTGAATGGTGACTGGAGGCCAGAGAAGGGCGTCGAACAGCCAGGTTCTGTAACGGTGTTCTGGGTTCAGAGGTGCTCCAGTGCTTTCTGTCACAGTGGTCATGGTTTACCGGTACCGGTACCTTGGTTGGCATGGGATGGCACTGGATTTCCCCACCCCCCCCGGTGACTACCTCCATTCCAGACGTTGTCCCTCTGTCCCTCTCAGGCGTCCACTGAGGCTGCAGCCAAGGTCCAGGGTCGTCCAAAAAGGATCCTGTTGCAGTGTTGCAAAGGAAATATTTGAGGCTTCGGCAGGAGCCCTCAACGAGTTTGGAATCATTCAGCTGGTTGGAAACAATGTGTTGCTAGCTAGCTAGTTCTGCTACGGCTGCTAGCTGGTAGATAGATAGAGCCCATATCTAGCTAGCTAGCTAGGTAATAAACAGTTGGCTGCTTTGGTAATGATCAGTTGGCTGCTTGGGAGGTATGGTACGGTGCCAATTAGCCAGTAGCTAGAAACATACTCTAGGTGGCTACCGTAGGTGTGCCCCACCTTTGGATGATCGGTGGCCGGCCATTTGTTCCGCTTTTGCAATTTGCTTTGTTGAAAAGGTGTGAACTTGAACGCACAATTTCTCTAATTTAATCAATATCCTTCCAGCTCTACTGTCTAGTAGACTGGCTATTCGTTTCGTTTTCTCTTTCTCTCTCGTTCAGATTGTGAGCTCTACAACTGAGCTCCGATATGCATACATATACCAGATCTTTCGATCCTCTGCTTCTCGCAGTTTCATCTACAGATAGATCTCGTCGATCTATCTTCCTGAAGTGCATGGTTGGCCCTGGAGGGCTTTCCACTTTACTAAACCTATGGACCTTCTCCGTCCATTCATTTTGCTCCATCCCGTCGCTCCTTGCATTCATCTCCTCGACCTAACTTCCTAACCTTTGTAGTTTCATCATCTAGACGACCATTGTCCTCGTTCCCGTACACTGGCCATCTGATGATGATCGGCTACCATCTGAATTTGAGTCCACATCCCCAATCACGAACCGTGATTTTGGATCCCGATTCGTCTGTTCGTCATACAAAATACCTTTCTGACACCCTTCCTGTTTTCGCGATGATGGCAGCGACCTTCTTACCAATCAAACCAATTGCTCCTTGTCCCTGTTAGTTTCGGTGCATGTCTGTCGAGAGTCTCGACGTTGACATTCTTGGTTCCAATGTCGTCTCACGTTGTCTTCCGAGCGTACAAAAATCAATCTTCACTAGGCGTCCTGCTGCATTTGTTCACGTAGTGCCACCTCGTATCCATATGCCTCTGTCCGACTTGCACTTGTCTATGTTCTCTGACATAAAGATAACACCTACGTTATCGATTGTCACTTGCACAGGTAGTTCACGTTGGTCTGTAGGAACTTCAGAATCTGCGCGATGAACGGGCTTTCGTACTGCTTCGCCACACGCGTAGAACTCAGCTTCGGAAATCGACAATGCACGACCTTCTGTAGCTTGGACCTCCGTGAATGAGCACACCCTTCGTAGAAAGATCATCATGAACGTGACTGATCTTCTGTTGTTCTTGTCTCCGGCCCAATCCGAATCCGAGAATACTTCCAATTTCCACTGTCTCCTCGTTCTTCTCTGGTCTCATCAAAAGTCCCGGTTCCTGGAGTCCAACACGTACTTTCAACAGCGTAGCATTTCTTTGTACGCTGCGGCTTGCGCATCCCAAGACCTTAGTAGCTCTCGTACTGCGTTCGAGATTTCTGGCCTTTGAATGCTTGATAAGGTACATGACCTATGCCTACTCCTGTTCGATTCTGCTCTGTTGTTCTTCACGATCCATTCAGCTCTGTTGTCTGTCTTTTACTATTCCGAGTCCAGGTGTTCCCGCAGTCTTGTATTTGGGTAGCTTCTGTACCTCCTCTCCGAATGTGGTTTGATAGCTTCTTAATCATGTGGGGTTGTCCCACCCATGCAGCAATTCTTTCGGGGATTCATCCGAATCTCACAGCTCAGGTAGTCCGTGAGTTCGTACTCTATGGTCATGTTCAAGCATCGATCTTTAATCCCTTGGAAGCACTTCCTTGATTCGTCTTTCTTCTCCAATGGTGAGTTGTCCTCCACGTAACATAGAATCACGCATTTCTTCCCATTCTTGTTCCGCATGAAGGGCATGGATCACTAGGACATGTAATCAATCCTAAGTCTTCCAGGACAACTCGCAAACTTCAAGTAGTACTGGTACGTGCGCTCTGGCAAGCACCATAGATGGTCTTGTCATATGACACATTCGTCGTCTTGGTTGTTCTAGTCCTTTTGGGGCAGTCCATGTAGATGACTACGTCCAGTCTCCATGTAGGAATGCTGTGCTCAATATCGAGATAATTGCTTCGCTCTCCCAGCTTCTTTAGTAGTAGAATCAGGATGATGCGGAAGGTGATGTCGTTAGCCACCGGACTGTAGATGTGTCAAAATCAATTCCGGGTACCTGACTGTATCCGCAGGCCACCAATCTAGCTCTGATCTTCCATTCCGCTTGATTCCAGCACCCATTTGTGTTTGACACATCGTCTCCCTTCCTCCATTCTTGATCTCTTTATCTTGCGCCAGACTTGTAGTTTCTCCATCTTGTCTAGCTCGCCTCTTGATCGCCTCCCTCCACTTCTCTCGCTGAAATGTTCCGGGTGGTCCCAAGCTTCCTCGAACGTGCTGGGCTTGGTGAACAGATACTGTACTTGTGCTGGATCCTGAGTTCTTGGTGTCATAGGCGAGAGTCTCTTGATCAATGGATGCCTGTCCTAGTCCTCCCTCAAATCTACTTCTGATGCCGTGACCACAAACTCCATCCAGTCTTCATGTGCGTTCCCAAAACGTTCTGTCATTGGAATGCGTCAAAAGTTTGCCATTTCTGTCATTGGCGGTGATTCCGGTTGTTTCGTGCTGAGCTTGTTATCTTCTCTCCTCCTTCGGATGACATCGGTCCGAAAGTGCTTGCATGAGGGAGCCCCCGTCATGAGGTTTGTACCGCCGCTAGCTTGTCCAGTGTCTGTAGGGCCTGGTGGGTTGTAGCTCGCATGAGTTTCTGTAGTTCCCGCGTTGTCCTTGGATATTTGGTCGCGACCGGGTCAGGTGGTTTGGCTGTTTGGATCGCGAGAACTTTATTAATCTCTCTTGGTTTCTAGTGTGATTGCTCCTGCTTTGGTAGTACTTCGTGGGCTTAAGGAGCAGGTCATGAGAGTTCGACTCCCGGTTTTCTGTTGGTTAGGACTGTGAGGAGTTTGTCTTTCCAATATGTTGAAGTT